GCGTCGTGTGCTTGCAGCGGTATGTGCTTGTAGCAGCGATGCTGAATCGCACTCTCGTCATTCCCGAGGACGACGTGTGCGGTGATGCGCGTCATTCCGCGAATCACGGAGACGCTACCGACAGCATGATTAGTGGAATTAGTAGTATAGATAGTGATACTAGGACTAATAGGCGACGTCACCGTGACGTCGGTCCGCCGTCCGTTAGTTTCTCGCGGGTGTTGGATCTCGCAAATTTGGAACAGTGCTTTTCCGGCGACAGCAGCGGCATTGGCAGCGGCAGCAGCAGCAGCGGCGGTCAGAACGCGAGTCCTGGTTCTAACAGCGCCGTGGAAGACGGAAGAGCGAAATCTGCAAGGCGGCTGAGTAACGTGTCACTGTCTGAAACCAGCGAAAACAGCGGCGGAGACAGCGGCGGGAACAACGGGAACGACGAGAGGGCGATCATGCCTCGCGTAATGACATTGTCTCGCTTCTTGCGGCTTCGACGAATGAAAACCGTCCACGTGGATAGTCTCGTGTGCGGCCATTCCGCTGGCAGCTGCTCTGTCCCCTCTCACTGCACGTCCTCTCACCGCGAACTTCGCGAAAGTAAATTGCACGAAGCCGATGTAACCCGAGTAACCCTCCCTCGTCGCACGGATCGCATGCCACCCTTCGTTTCAAGCATCTCCGACTTCCCTAGCGCAATAATCACCGACGCGCCTCGATCGTACCGCGCGTCGGTACTCTCTCTCGGGGATCTCAGCCACTTAAACGCGTCGGATCTTCCTATCGGAGCAGACGTCCCATATCGCGTATTTCGCCAGTTGCTTCTATCGAACCTTGAGAATATCGGGTCTACGACAAGCGTGAGAGCTGGTTGCGAGTTTCCGTTGCAGCCGTCTCGCGAAGTTGTGACTCTAGTGGATTGGTACCGGCGGGAGTATATCGGAGGTGACTATGCCGCGTTGCGCCTGGAACGGCGAGCGTGCTTCAGCGAACGGAGTCGAAGCAGCGCGGAAGATTCGGAAGCAGCGTTAGCAAGGAGTGACGAGGTGCAAGCAACGAGTGGCGTCGATATGGGGGTGAATGGGAAAGGATATCTTTTCGAATCGGTGGTGGACACGTGGAGGAAGCAGGTTGGGCAGAAGGACGGGCAGAGAAACGAAACCGAGCAGGGATATTTGCCCCTTGCTGCAGTTGCCTCGTTTGTGGGGGACTCGTTAGAGTCTCAAGGCATCCGGGTGCTGTTTCTCAGCAGAAATGGAGAAGAAAGTTGTGCCGTGGATGGAGCCCTAACTGCCCTGCTGTCTGCACGCGGCATTACAGTCATGCGTCTACAGTCTGTTATCAAGTCCTTCAATAAGAAGCCCATTGGTGCTAGTGATGGTGATTGCAAGGATGGTGATTGTGGGAGGGACAGCAACACGAGAAGCGAGAACAGCAGCAGCTGGAGCAACGACAAGATTGGCAGGAGGGATGATGGTGATGATGAGGGAGAGGTAGGTAAAGAGGGCGATGATGGCAGGGACGGATTGAGAGAGGCAGAAACAGAGGGAGATGGAGAAGTAGCAGCAGCATCAGTGTCAGCTGACGTGGCAGCATCAGCAGAGCTTCTACTAGCTGCCAGTGCCCGCACTCTGCTTCTCTCTCCTGTCCACCTCTCTCCATTCTTTTCTCCTTCTACCTCCTCCTCCTCCTCCTCCTCCTCCTCCTCCTCCTCCTCCTCCTCCTCCTCCTCCTCCTCCTCCTCCTCCTCTCCCTCTTCCTCCCCCTCCCACCCTCCCCTCTCCCTCTCCCTCTCAGCCATTCACATTCTAAACCTGCGGCGGGCTATGGGCATGGACTCTTGCTCTGACGCGCTGCTATGAGATGCTGCTGCGGAGCAAAACTGCGCTTTTTCTGACCCAAGTTTAAAGCCCACAGAGGGCTAGAGCCAAAGCTTGGCTCGAGCTGCCGACCCCAAGCTGTGACGAGCTGCTCTGGAATGCTGCTGACCTTGGTGAAGCAACAGAGCGCCCAACTCTGCCTGACTGTGATGTGAGCCTGCCGGTGACATGCTGCTGTATTGTGTTGCTGTGACATGCTGCTGTATAGTGTTGCTGTGACATGCTGCTGTATTGTGTTGCTGTGACATGCTGCTGTATTGTGTTGCTGTGACATGCTGCTGTATTGTGCTGCTGTGACTTGCTGCTGCGGGTGGAACGCAGGCTGCAAGGCAGATGGTCGGAACAATCACTGCAATTGACTCTGCTGCTATTAGCTCATTCACTCTGACAGAAGCTACCACCTAGTTCTTCTAGGGTGAATTCTCTGCATCTGGCAGTGGCATTACACAATTTTCCTAGACATGAAAGAAGTAATTGTAGGTAACATGGCAGAATCTTCTTAGGGCTTTATCTACATAATCCGGTAATTTCCTATGAGTTTCAATTTTGGCATAATCTCGATTTTGTTCAACTTCTTACGAGTATTGTGGACCTCTCGCTTCCAGCCTGGACACCAAAGCCGATCAGGTTCAGGTGTTGAACCAGATTCACATGCAGCATAAACCTGATCAGCATGCGTCTCGTGATTTGCAAGTGGGCTCGGATACACCTGAGAATATATCCAATCACGAAGGAGCAACGTGACACCACCGCGGCTGAACAAGAGCAGGTCGACCCAGAGGGCCATCTCGCTGAAACCTAGTTCCAGCGCGCCGCAGGGAACAAACACAACCGCGACTCGGTGACTCTCCCCTCCCTCTCATTTTCCTCGAATACTGTAAATACGGTATGTTCGCTTATCCAACACAATCAACAAGTACAGAAACTTATCAAGTCGGCAAGAAGTAGAACAGATTCTCAACTTGACTGTACGTTATTCCTAAATTCGTATTGTAATTCTACACGACGCAGCGCACAGGTTGTTCCCAGCTTTCCAGAATGGCTAGAGCCGCGCTTCTCGCGCTGTCCCTGGCGCTGCTGCTCGCAGTCGCCCGCGCTGGCAGCCCCATCACGAGCGGCACTGCGAATGAGAAGCCCGACCAGAGCAGCAAGAAGGACGACGGGCTCATGACCGAAATCCCCGCGGATATCGCAAAGCAGGCCGCGACGGGCAATGCAGCTGGAGTCACCTACGTGGACACAGCACAGGATTCGTTCTTTATGGCTGATGTGAAGAAGGCCGGGTGGAACGCGCAGAAATGCCCGCCTGGATTGAACAAGGAGCTAGCAGGAGCGTGCACGCCGAAAAATTGTTCAAAGGGAGGCATCCCCGCTAAGTGGAAAACCGCTTATCTGCAAAAGAACAAGCTGGGTTACGAGCTGTACGTGCCCGGTAACCCGCTGACGGTGCTCAAGGCTAACCCCGCGTCGTGCTGCAACACCTGCGCCGCGACTCCGCTGTGCACGTACTGGCAGTACATCCCCGATATAACCATCGACGGGAAGAAGGGCAAGGGTGCGTGCTATTTGATCCACGACCAGATTGATTTCACCTGCGGAGAGATGACCGCGCAGTATTCGACGGAAACGAAGCCGGTGAACCTGCAGGTGCGCATCGGTGGAGAGTGTAACCCTAGCGCGAAGATTCTCAACGACCCGCACTTGGTCGGCGCGCACGGCACGCATTTCGACTTCAACGGCCGGCCCGACAAGGCGTTCTGCCTGCTGACGGACCGCGATCTTCATGTGAACATGCTGCTGAGGGGTTATTATGATGAGCGCACCGATAATGCCGCGCTTGTCGTTGACGGCAAGGCGGTGCACACGTGGATTAAGGAGCTCGGGATGGTCTGGACCGCCGGGAGCGCGGATCACAAGGTTCGGCTCGCGGCGCGCAGCGGTAAGCAACAGGAGCGCGGCGACGGGTTTACGAAGACCATCGAGATTGACGGGGAGGAGATCCCTCGGATGAAGGTTGGCGACACGGTGACGAGCGACGGTGGCCTGACGATTCAATTCCGCGGGCTGGAGAAAGAAGGACCATTCGATGTGGACTACTATATGCTGACGATCGACGGTCTGATTTCTCTGGATCTGCGCTTGCGCGTCGCGCACCCGAAGCTGCAGACCCCCAGCGACGCTGAGGCGCATATCAACGTCGGGATTGCCGAGCTGGAGCACACAGAGGATATTCACGGTGTGTTGGGGCAGACGTACCGCGCGGATCACTCGCAGCGCGCTGAGGATTTTCAGCGTTTGATCGCGAGCCTGCACCGTCCGATTTCGGCTGACGGCGCCGAGGGGAAGGGGTTCTTGGATGGTACACCCAGGTCGTATGAGGCGAGTGATGTGCTTGCTGTAGACTGCGCTTATACCGCGTACGGCCGCGCCAGGAAGGTCATGCCCGTGCAGCAGTTCCCGTAAGGGTTGACTCAGTGGGAGCCTTCACGCTTGTATTATACAATGGTTCCGTCAGATACTAGGTTGATAGATAAGTGGGCTGATTTGTTTATTCTTCATACAATTGGAATGAAAAAATAAAGCCTAATATCCAGTGTCCAGAGATGCAGCAATTGACATCTGGAAACGAAACGGCCCATCCCAACCGTCTAACAGAGAAGCATCTCGCTGGATCATGCCAGCCCTAGGCCATAATCATCTACCACCAGTGGTAATGCCATCCAGGGCCAGCACCGGATGCAGCACCACAGCAACTTCATTGGATAGCCTTACTAACGAGTGTACCAGCTAACGCCATCCAGGGCCAGCACCGGATGCAGCACCACAGCAACTTCATTGGATAGCCTTACTAACGAGTGTACCGGCTAACGCCATCCAGGGCCAGCACCGGATGCAGCACCACAGCAACTTCATTGGATAGCCTTACTAACGAGTGTACCAGCCAACACGTCACATGGGGTTGGGAGAGATTCTGCTGATGGGGATGATGGCGACGGCAATGCCATCTAATGCCAGCACCGGGCAAAAGGTACGGCCGCCAGCCACTGACCCACCACTGCCCCTGATTATTGAGACGTCTCAAAACTCTTTCGGTGCGGCCACTGACCCACCACTGCCCCCGATGCTACGCTACAGTGATTGCAAACCAGTACGCAACAAGTCGTCTCTACACTCCATGGGCTTTGGAGGGTCTTTGTTGAGGGGAGGGATGATGGCGACGGCAATGCCATCCAGCGCCAGCACGGGGCGAGGTGAGGCCGCTTCCCCCGGCGTTCCTGCATCCGCTGCTGCTGCTGCTGGCGTGACACGCGGCGTCTTGAATGCCTTGGATGCGAAAGTGACTCTGAGGAGGTGTGGGATGGGGATGGGGATGGGGTAAGGGGAAGGTATGGGGAAAGACATGGGAAGATGCTTTGAACGCTTAGAATGCAAACGTGACCCTTGTGGAGGTGTGGAGGAGGGGAACGGGAGATGGGAAAAGGCATGGGGGAGGGCATAAAGGAAGGGGTACACCACCACTGAGACGGCATTCACTGTGGCACTCACCTGCTCGCTCATGTGCACGGCCACGCACGCACACAAACAGACCCTCACTCACAGCCACACACGCGCATGCCCTGTCTCTCACACACAGACACACCTGAATCCGTTTCTGTTTGCCCCCACAGAATTGGTTTCCACAGTGGCTGTCACCTGCTCACCCACATGCACGGGACGGGACTGAACAGATGCACACACATACACACACCCCCACTCCCCCACATGCACACATTCACTTCCCCAGTTACCTGAATCTGTGTCAATGCTCCCCCACTGATATGGCTTCTACTGAGGCTGTAATCTGCTCGCCCACATCCACGGGGCAGCACAAACTCAGCTTTCCTTCCCTTTCACACACACAGACAGACCCCACCCACCTGAATCTGTGTCGGTGTGCCACCACTGATATTGCTTCCACTGTTGCAGTCACCTGCTCGCCCACGTGCACGGGCGCCAGGAAGCGCAGCGTCTGAGAAACGTAGATGGCGCCTGGCTGAATGGCATGGGGATGAGGGACAGGGGGGTCGGAGGGGGGTTGGAGAAGGGTGGGGTTGCTGTGTTGCTGTAAGCTGCTAACCTGCTCGCCCACGTGCACGGGCGCCAGGAAGCGCTGCGTCTGCGACACGTAGATGGCACCTGGCTGCCGGGTGTAAAAAGGGAGGAGTGGGGAGAACGGAAGGGCGGAGCGTTGGAGGGGGGTTGGGGGCGCATGACATGCTGTGTGGCTTTGAGCAAATCAACAACAACAATATTTACAGTTGAATCAGTCGCAGCCACGTAAAGACATGGCTCCTATCTGGGGCTCCATTGGGGTTGGGGGCGCATGACATGCTGTGTGGTTGTGAGCTGTGACGTGAGCTCGCCTGTTCGCCTGCTCGCCTGGAGGGGCAGGTGGAGCGTTGGAGGGCGGTTAGTTGGGCTGTGCTCCCAACGGCTTGCTCTCATGCCCGCCCACATGCACGGGGCTCTGAAATCGCCAAGTCAGAGCCCACGTGCACGTAAGTTTGCGGTCAGAGCCCACGTGCACGTAAGTTTGCGGTTAGTTGGGCTGTGACACATAGATGGCACCTAGTGGCTAGGCGAGAACGGGGAAAAGGGAGTGGGAATCAGGCGGTTGGGGTGCTGGTGGTGGTTTGGAAAGGTGGGGTGGATTGCACGACATGTCTCTCCGGATCCCCGGCCTGAAACACGATTATTAACCTGTGATAAGCGCGAGAAGTGCGAAAACAGTGATGATATTACTGGTGAGTTTGATACGCACACTATATAAGGGCAACGAGCGTACATGGTGCATGGCGATGAGCGTACATGGTGCATGGCGATGAGCGTACATGGTGCATGGCGATGAGCGTACATGGTGCATGGCGATGAGCGTACATGGTGCATGGCGATGAGCATACATGCTGCATGGCGATGAGCGTACATGGTGCACGGCGATGAGCGTACATGGTGCATGGCGATGAGCGTACATGGTGCATGGCGATGAGCATACATGCTGCATGGCGATGAGCGTACATGGTGCATGGCGATGAGCGTACATGGTGCGTGGCGATGAGCATACATGGTGCATGGCGATGAGCATACATGGTGCATGGCGATGAGCGTACATGGTGCATGGCGATGAGCGTACATGGTGCATGGCGATGAGCATACATGGTGCATGGCGATAAGCGTACATGGTGCATGGCGATGATCGTACATGGTGCATGGCGATGAGCGTACATGGTGCATGGCGATGAGAGTGGAAAACAGGCTCATTGCCAGAATCCCGTGCACACACACTCCGCAAATCCCGCCATTCCAACCAAGCTATCAGAGAGTGATGCGAGCAACTGGGACGCCTCAAAGAGTGTCACGTGCAACCAATGAACGTACATGGTGTTTCGCGATGAGAGCGGGAAACAGGCTGGCCGCCAGGATCCCATGCACCACGCACTCCGCGAATCCCGCCGCCTCCGCCGCGCGCGCGTCGAGGTGGATGGGGTTCAGGTCGCCCGTCATGTGCGCGAACGCTGCCACCTCAGCAGCCGTGAACGCGTGCGCCGTCGTCCACTGCTCGCCCGTGAAAACCGGCGGCGGCGCGTGCGCGCGTGTGTTTATCCGCCTCGCGCCCGTCGCATGACCTCCGTAAATTCCGCCGCAAATTCCCTCGGAGATGCCGCTGCTACTCGCGCTCCTAGTACAACTGATGCCGCTCCTGCTTAGCCCTTCGAAGCGCGTCAAACGACTCTCACCACCTCGACTTTCTTGGGAAGGGGGCTCTGAAAGGATGCTCACATCCACCCCTGTATACGAATCTCCGTTATAGGGAGCTCCTGTACATCCTGCACAAGAAATTCCTGTATAAGGTCCCAAAGCTGGTTCTAATTGGCCAAGCGAGTGGGGGGAAAACTTCCTTGTGAAGAGCCGAAGAGCGGGAGAACCGTGGGAACGAGCCGTTTGGGCTAGCCGCGACGCCATTGGCGCGTTTCTCACGATCGTCCACAAGGCCGCTGGTTACAGGCAGCGTGGAAAACGGCTAGTTACCGTCTCATGCTAGACACGTGAAACAGCCAGGAATACGAAGCAGTAAGACAGGGGAGCAATAACGACGACTGCTCCGCTTTGGCGGAACAACGCACCAATTCCGCCAGGCACGACGACAGAGGTTCTGCACAGAAAATGTCTCTTGCATCGGAACTTTTTCAGCCTAGAATCTGCCGCGACGCGCCCCATCTGCTAGAACAATTGGCGTCGGCTGTGGGTGTGGGAGGACGCCGCACAGTACCGCACGGCAACGCACCAGAGTAAAACACTGTACTGATAAACAATGAATAATAATTTCGAACGCTCCTATCCAGCACTACCATTTTGACACCTCACTATCTTGTCCAACTCTAGAACCACAGAACGTGGCAAAATAAGATAACCAGATTATGAGCCATATATAAATCAGATCCCAGCAAAAAGCGCAAAAATGTCACCGCTGACGTAGTCATTGTCAACGACGCTCACAAGGTAATAGGTGTCGTGGATCTGCACAAGCCAAGACACAAAAGGAAACATTGATAAGGGGACATTGACGAAAATAAAGAGTTTCCTTGAAGCAATAACCACAAAAACACGCATCACCTCATCTCACTTCCTATTGCCTAATGTAGCCTCATACCACATGTTATCACATCCTGTCACCCAAGTCTCCTCATACCACCCCCAAACACAAACTCCAGCGGCACTCCCACAAACCCTCACGTTGTGCCTCTCACTTCAACGCTGCACCCCTTCTCAACTACTTCAACCGTCCCTCACCTCTTGTACACATCCCTCCCCCTCTCACCCCGTGCACATGTCTCTCACTCACCTCCTGCAGCAGCTTCTTAGCCACCGGCGTGCCCTCATCCCTGTCCTTGTAAAGCCCCGCTATTGACCAAAACCCCAATCCTTCTCACATCCTTCAACCATCCCTCACCCTTTGAAGCCATCCCTCACCTCTAGACACCATTCCTCACACCCATCATCCCTCATCCCATGCACCCTTCCCGCCCTCGCCTCCTGCAGCAGCTTCTTAGCCAAGGGTGTGCCCTCATCCTACTTGTCCCCACCTTAGACCACACCCAACCCCCTCTCAACTCCTTCAACAGCCACTCACCTCCTGCAGCAGCTTTTTAGCCAAGGGTGTGCCCTCATCCTCCTCCTTGTAAAGCCCCGCCCAGTCATCCACCCACGCACCAAACGCCTCCTCCTTCCACGCCAGAAACGACATGAAATCCGCCACCGTCGGCTGCACCACCTCCCTCCCCGGAAACACCCCCCACGTGACCGCGTTCGCAGAGAAGGGCGTGGTGGAGGCGGGAGTGCCAGGGCCGGTGGCGAGCACGTGGCCTTGCGAGTTGACCGCCATGAGGGAGATGGAGGGCGTGGCCTTGGCCTTTTCCAGGAGCGTGGTGACCTTGTCGTGCGGGGCAAAGCACTCCACGTATGCCTTCTGGTAGATGTACCCCCCGGGGCCTCCCCACCCTGGAGGGAAACAAGGGGTGCAAAAGTAAAAAAAGGGAGAGGGGGATGGAGACACTGGTAAGGTAGACCAATACACATGGGCCCGTGGCAAGCACATGATGCCTTGCGAGTTGACAGCCATGAGGGAGATGGAGGGAGTGGCTTTGGCCTTCTCAAGGAGAGCAGCCTTCTGCCGCAGTCTCAGCACCCACCCACTCAAAGCAGAGCCTTCTGCCGCAGTCTCAGCACCCAGCACAGCACACTCACCAAGAACAGGGTCGTCGGACTTGGCGCCATTGACAGCGGGCTGGCTGTTGATGGTGAGCAGTCCAGCCGCGTTCAACTCCTGCAGCTGAGCACTGATGGGAGCTGAGTCCGCAGAGAGGGAGGCCTCCACCGCCTCGCTCCAGGGGAAGCTGCTCACCTCGCCACTCACAAACCGAGCAAAGAGCTGCAAGAGGGGGGGGGGAGAGGGGAGAGGGAGAGAGAGAGGAAGAGGGAGAGGAAGAGGGAGAGGGAGAGGAAGAGGGAGAGGAAGAGGGAGAGGAGAGGGAGAGGAAGAGAGAGAGGAAGAGGGAGAGGGAGAGGATAAGGGACAAGACAGAGTGGGCGTGGGGCCCAAGTCCGCAGAGAGGGAGGCCTCCACTGCCTCGCTCCAGGGGAAGCTGCTCACCTCGCCACTCACAAACCGAGCAAAGAGCTGCAGAGAGGGGAGAAGAGCGGGAGGGAGAGGGAGAAGACTAAGCGCCGCGCAACAAGCGAGCGCCGTGGCCCGCAACAGGCACAGCCCAGTCCCTGGCAAGCGCGGTAGCCCACGACTCCCTCTTGAGAAACGCCCTGTGCTTGCCGGGCAAGTCGCTGTAACGTAAGCATTGCCTTTTAGACGCTTTTTTCTTCCCTCACCTGCTTGACGTCTTCAGTGGAAGCAACGGGAACAGCCCAGTCCCTAGCAAGAGCCGTAGCCCGCGACTTCCTCTTGAGGAACGCCCTGTGCTTGGCGGGCAGGTCGCTGTAAGAGAGTGCCTCTGCAGGCCCCAGGCGGCCAGAGGGAAACTTGGTCCACGCTGCCGTGCGCGCCAGGTAGCTCTTGGGGCGCAGGGACCTGCAAGTGGTGGAGTGCGGTTGGGATGAGTATAGACGAATGGGTATGGGGTGGGTAGGGATGGGCACAGCGCCTCTGCAGGGCCCAGGCGGCCAGAGGGGAGCTTGGTCCTCGATGCTGTGCGCGCCAGGTAGCTCTTGGGACGCAGGGACCTGTGGGGGGTGGAGAACGGTTAAGATGGTATGGGGTGAGAGATTGTGGGTATGAGGTGCGAAGGGTGGGTAAGGGGTGGATACTGCTGGGTACAGGGTGTGAGTAAGCTGCAAGAGGGAAATTTGGCCCATGCTGCTGTGCGTACCAGGCAGCTCTTGTAACGCAGAGATGCGTTGAGATGCTCTCTCCAGTATCTGCCTCCTGACTGTGCCAGCAGCTCTCACCAGTAGATGGCACCTTACCATGCCAGCAGCTCTCACCAGTAGATGGCACCTCACCATGCCAACTTCTCTCTCACCAGCAGATGGCACCTGACCATGCCAGCTTCTCTCTCACCAGTAGATGGCACCTGACCATGCCAGCTTCTCTCTCACCAGCAGATGGCACCTGACCATGCCAGCTTCTCTCTCACCAGTAGATGGGGCGCACGTCCTCTGTGCATCGGACGATGTTGGTTGCTGACCGCCACGGCAGCGCACGAGGGATGTTGGACGCCTCTATGAGCCCCAGGTTCTGATGGGAGAGGGGAGCAGGAGGAGGGAGGACGGGAGGAGGGAACGAGATACAGTGAGATGGGAATTATGTAAGAATGAGTGGCATCAGCTGGCCGCCACGGCAGCGCACGAGGGATGTTAGACGCCTCTATCAGCCCCAGGTTCTGATGGGCGAAGAGGGAGGAGGTGAGGAGGGGAGGGTGGAAGTTACAGTGAGCTGAAGCAGGGGAGAAGTGGTTTGGCTGGTATTTACGCCACACACCCATGCAAGGCAACAGCAATTCACCCTGAAAAGGGCGGTGGTAATCTTGCCCTGGTTGGAGGGTGGAGTTGCCAAAACCAAAAGATTGGAGCATGCCGCTCGCTCACCCCCACCCCAACCAAACTCAGCTTGAGGATGGCGATGGTGGTCTTGTCCTGGTTGAGCGTGTACATGTGCAGAGTCGGGACGCCCACATGCAGGATGGCATGTACGTAGCACCCACCCAACCTACCTACCCACAACAGCACCCTACCTTGAGGATGGCGATGGTGGTCTTGTCCCGGTTAAGCGTGTACATGTAAAGGGTGTGGATGCCCACATCCCTTCCCACCACTCCCACGCGCATAACCGAAAGCACGCACCCAGCCAGGTCACACCTTGAGAATGGCGATGGTGGTCTTGTCCTGGTTGAGCGTGTACACGTGAAAGGTGTGGATGCCCGCATCCAGAATGGCATGTATGTATCACCCACCCAAGCTGCACATGCGAGCCACACCCCCAACCCACCCCAACTGTACCTTGAGGATGGCGATGGTGGTCTTGTCCTGGTTGAGCGTGTACATGTGGAGGGTGTGGATGCCCGCATCCAGAATGCGCCGGCACATCTCCGTGCCTTGTTGGATGCCGTACGCCCTAACAGCCTCCTCGTTATCCTTTATCGGCTCCAACGCGTCCAGAATGCTCTGGGGAACCTGTAATGGCGGGACGGAAAAAAAGAGTCGAACAAAGAGGCGAGTTGAACAAAGCTGTGTCAGTGACAGATCCTAACAGCCTTCTGCCTTGGTATCAGCGCCCTACTATTACTAATGGCCCTTTCATTGATAGTAGCGGTGTACACACATGCACACACACTCTCTCACACACACACCTTGGTCTTGCAGAAGGCGGTCATGCGCTTGAAGCCGCCGTACGTGGTGATGGGCATGATGCCCGGGATGATGGGCTCGCTCACTCCCATGGCGCGGCAGTCCGCCACGAACTTCAGGAAGATGTCCACATCGTAGAACAGCTGCGTCACTATCAGATCCGCGCCCGCATCCATCTGCAACAGGGGTTAAAGGTTTGAAGGGTTCGAAAGGGGGAGGGCAAGGGTGAGGGCAAGTGGGGAGGGCTAGGGATGAGGGCAGTCCGCCACGAACTTGAGGGAGATGTCCACGTCGAAGAACAGATGCGTCACTATCAGATCCGAGCCCACGTCCAGCTGGGAGTGACACAGAGCAGCAACAGGTTTGAAGGGGAGAGGGCAATGGGGAGCAACACGAACTTGAGGAAGATGTCCACGTCGTAGAACAGCTGCGTCACTATCAGGTCCGCGCCCGCGTCCATCTGCAAGAGGGTTTAAGGTTTAAGGGAAGGCAGGGAGGGACAGGGATGGGTGGGGCGGGTTTAGGGTGTAAGGGGGCGACGCAAGGGGGGAGGAAGAGGGTCGAGGGGAAAGGAGAGTAGGACGGAAGTAGAGAGACGGGAATGAGGGAGAGCGAACACCACTGCTGGTACTTGTTTTGAGTCATGCTCACCTCAGCTGGCACGTGAGGGTGCACAACATCCATCCGTCATGCACTCTGTCATGCGTTTGTGCTGCCCATTTCGAGCGTGACGCCCCATCCACCCATCATGCATTGCCCCCTACCTAACTTGATTCACCATCCGCCCGTCATGTATTTTCCCCACCTTGGACTTGAGGCGCCAATCATCATGCACTCATCATGGATGTCCCCCGACCTTGAACGTGAGGCACTCCGGTCCTTCTGGTACTTCTCTGGTATTCCTTACAGTCAACTAAAAAGACGTGGGCCTGCGTGGCATCTATCTATCATGCACATATTCATCCATCCATCACGCATTCCCCTCCAACAACACGTATTCCCCCCCACCTTACCTTGGCCTTGAGGTACTCAAGGTCCTTCTGATACTCCTCTAATATACTTCTGAGTCAATTATAAACACATGGGAGTGCGCGCCATCTATACATCATGCACCCATCACATACCCATCACGCATTGCCCACCCATCGCGCATACCCCACCCAATCACGTATTCCCCACCCTTCGCGCATTCCCCACCCATCACGTATTCCCCACCCATCACGCATTCCCCACCCATCACGCATTCCCCACCCATCACGCATTCCCCACCCATCACGCATTCCCCACCCATCACGCATTCCCCACCCATCACGTATTGCCCCGCACCTTGGCCTTGAGGTACTCCAGGTCCTTCTGATACTCCTCTGGCGTCGCACCGTCAGGGCCGCTGATGGCGTCAGGATGCGCCTCTGCGATTACACGCGGACACCATGGCCGCATCGTAGGGGTGCAAGCGAATGGGAAGACGGGGTTTCACGTGAGTGCGGTTCAGGTCGTTTGGACTACGCAACTTGGACATTTGGGTCAACTCAAAGGACGGAATGGGATTCTGTGTGCACACTGTGGCTGCTTTGCAAGAGTTTAGCTGGGTTAGGAAATCTCTGTATGCCTGAGTGCGATTCATTTCGTCTACGCAACGCGTTTCTTATCAGTTTAGGACGACGGTGTTGTAAGTACTTGAGTCGATTCTCGTCAATTTCTTCCAGTCCTTATCTCACCTGGATATCCAGCAACCGTGATTCCGAAATAGTCGCCATACTTGGCGCGAATGTGCTTCACCTGCAGCAAGGAAACGAGGCAGGAGAAGCAAGGCGCGGGAAAGGCAAGACGCGGGAGAGGGCAGAGAAAGACAACAGGAATGGCAAGCCAGTGAGTGCGGTGAGAAGGAGAAAAATGGCATGATTCGCAACCTATCGTCGCACAGACGGAGCAAGGACGGTAGCACACAAACTGTCGCACAAAAACCAGGACAAAAGGTGGGATACAACCGTGGACGGAAAGTATCACAATAAGGATTACAGCCCAGGATATGCGCAAAGATTATATAGTCAGCGTGACGTCGCATGAATGATTGAACCTCAAGCTTAACAGGTCGAGCGCGCATGAAAAGCCACCCTCGGCGGCGACAAACTTGTCCTGGCCGCGCGAGGGGTCGCGCTTTTGAGCTTCTACCAGTGTGTAAATCCCAGTCTTACCAGGTCGAGCGCGCACAAGAAGCCGCCCTCGGCGGCAACGAACTTTTCCTTGGCGTGCGGGAGTTGGTTCTCTGACTCTCTCCCAGAGCGAACGATCCAGTCTTACCAGGTTGAGGGCGCATGAGAATCCGCCCTCGGCGGCGACGAACTTGTCCTGGCCGCGCGAGGGGCCGTGCTTTTGAGCTTCTACCAGTTCTACCAGTTCTGACAGTCCAATCTTACCAAGTCGAGCGCGCAAGAGAAGCCGCCCTCCGCCGCGACGAACTTGTCCTGGCCGTGCGGGGGGTCGCCGCGCAGCGCGAGCACGTTCTGCAGGCCGGCGGCCTTGATGTGCTCCAGCGCGTGGTCGATGCGCTCCACGGGCATGTTGGTGCACGTCAGATGCATCGACGTCTCCACGCAGATCTACGGTGAGGGTTGAGGGGGAGAGATACGGGGAGTGGTTGGAGGGGGGGGAGAGGGGGAGGTTAAGGGACAAAGGAGCGCGTGGTCGATGCGCTCCACGGGTATGTTGGTGCACGTCATATGCATCGACGTCTCCTAGCAGATCTGCAGAGAGGGTAGAGGGGAGGGGAAAGAAAAGTCGAGGGGGATGAGGGAAAAGAGTTACATGAGTCAAATCTTTATGTGCTCTAGCGCCTGGTCGATCTGCTCCACGGGCATGTTTGGTGCACGTCAGGTGCATTGACTTCTCCACGCAGATCTGTGGTGAAGAGGGGGAAGAGGGGTTGAGGGACGGACGAGGGAAAAGAGTGCTATGAGTCAACCCTTGATGTGTTCGAGCGCGTGGTCGATGCGCTCCACCGGCATGTTGGTGCATGTCAGATGCATCGACGTTTCCACGCAGATCTGTCGGGGAGGTAGGGGAGAAAGGACAAACAAGGGGAAAACGTTATATTAGCAAACTCTTGATGTGCTCCAGCGCGTGGTCGATGCGCTCCACGGGCATGTTGGTGCACGTCAGATGAATCGACGTCTCCACGCAGGTCTGAAGGGGGTGGGGGGAGAGTAGGGTGAGAGGACGGAAATGTAACATGGAAACGGTGATGAAGACATTCCTGAACCCGTTTCACGGGCATGCCAGTGCAAATCAGGTGCGTGGCGTCTCCATGCAGATCTGCCGGGAAGCCATGAGGGATGATGCACGCAAATGCGACGTGAGATTAAAATTATCTGTGGCATCTTGAACTTGCGGATTTGTATTGCAAGGTGGTGCCGGTCGGATGCATCAACGTCTATCCGTAAATCTGCAGGAAGGATGTTCGGCATGGCTGAGGAGACCATACGAGGGAATCAGGTGTTTGAGAGGCCTAAAAATCGGTCTACAGGCACATATTGCACTACATCTGTGCTCGAGATTCACGTCGTGATGTGAGGATATGGACAGGGAGAACGACGGAAATACGGAAGTTATAACCAATCGTTGGAGTACGTTAGCCTGAAATGAAGAGACTAATATTTCGGAGGAAAACGTTCGGCTATTCAGGCACTGACATTGTTCTGCATGCGAGTGGCGATCTCTAGGGTGAGATCCGCCGTCGATCCGCCTGCTCCCCACGTGATGTCGCAGAACGCAGGCTGGTACGCGACCATGCGATCCATGCGATCAAACAGATTCTCCACGCCATCCGCGGTCTTGGGAGGGAAGTACTCGAACGAGAATACCTTCCTTCCCTCATCTAATGCCGCCTGAATCTTCTGCGGGATCTTCATGGCGTAACGTAAGGAGGTCCGCAAAATGACGGAAGCTTTGCACGAGACAGTTCAGGGAAGACGAGGGAAACTGCTAATCTAGTATGCCTTAGTAGCAGACAACAGAAATCATTCTGAGTGATGGAGATGAAATCCTGAGTAAATCCCAAGGTGCAGCCCCAAGGGTGGTGGTGGAACAGTGCGTGAATCGTCCTCCCAATATCCTGGGAGAGGGAATCCCCTGGTGGTTCTGCTACGCAGCAGAGTTGCTGACAAATGGAACAGGCCCGAGTTGCCCATGAATGAAATCCCAAGGCCGAACCTGTTGGTCGCGTTTCGCTCACGTCGTATCTGAGTTACCCTGGTTTCGTGTGATGCATTTTCGACGATTTGCGACGACGGGAAACAGATAACATCTAGGCCTGAGTTGGGGAAAGCTGTGGCGGTCATAATTTCTGTCAGACGGTCCGGCGAACAACTGTCTGTTGGCGCGAAGCCGCGTTTGAAGTCATACAGTTCAAGGCGCAGTGGTACTTCCCGCCGAGTACAGTAAATGTTTACTGACAACGTGTCAATCACCTGTCTTGCAAAACTAATCTCAACGTTTGTATAGGTTCTTACCAAAGTGTTACATCGTCTCTATAGCGATTTAGAAGTTTCCAGCGCATCTGGCACCTAATATCGAAACGAAGCTTCTATGACACATCAGCAATCCAGTTTTGACAAGTCCTCATTGGTTGTTCAGGATGTTCAAGCTCTTCGACGAATTGTGGCAGACCACCCCATGCCATCCATCAAGCAGCCGATATAGTGGCAAATCCCCCTGTCGCGAGAGCGAGCCCATTGCTAATCATCGCTTGGTATGAGTTACCATTCTTCGTTAGCCTTTACTTGGTGGCGAAGACCGTGCCACGAGTCCACCAAAACGACCACAGGATTCTTCGCCAGCATCGTCTCTCCTTGGGTGCAGGAGGTTTCGCCACGCGACGCCTCTCAAATATTACCTCCACGTGTGTACCAGAATCTGGATTACGGTCTTCCACCTCCGGCCTCCACCCTAATTTGTAACTAAAGCTTCTTCTTCGCCTCAAATCTTTTATCAAAATTGCATCAGTTATTCCCTATTCTTGGCTTCGTCCAAACGGCTAATTTCTTGCAGCGACAGCGAAGCTTGTCTTCCGATTGCACAGGCCTGGGACGTCCAGAATGGCTGCCTTGACCAATTGCAGCGCGTCCAGGTAACACTTCTCGTAGAGTACTCAGTACATGTCTTCACTAGTAGTATTTTTACAGTCTCTCTTAGTCTCATTATTCCTCTGAGCTGCCATTACATATTTCCCGATTCCTCCGTGGTTCAAATCTTGATGCGCAGTGTCCGGGCAGCGGGTCTCGGCGTGGCGACAGCATCGAAGCTGTCGTCGTCGTCGTGCACGTCGTCCAAGTCGCTCGCCTTGAAACCCCGCCAGGATGCTTCCCGGACGGCAGGCCGGCAGCATAGCAGGTGCTCTGCGACTCCTCCCCCTGCCTTATTCCGTCCGACGCTTATCCTTACCTTGCTTGTATCGATATTGATATTGTATGTGAAAATACATAAGCAGAAAAAGAGCATCCTTCGTTTTGGGTACGTACTGTGTGTCGCTAGAAATGTCATGTTGGTGGCCAACGGATATTTCCCCCCCTCTCCTTTCCCTTACCCTCTCCTCCGCCAACCCTAACCAACCCTACCACAATCTCCCCTCCCCCTTGATTCTCCCCCTCACCCTAATCTCTCAAAGAATAACCGTTGCTGGTGTGTCGCTTGATCTGGAATGATTAATTTTAACTGGAATTACAATCGGAAATTGGATGGAATTGGGGTTGCAGGTTGGTTGTGGAGGCCAAGGGGAAGAAGAGCAACCAGAACTACGCGAGAAGACAACAGCAGCAGCAGCCCACCCCTCCGGAATTCGACCCGTCAGACGACACCCCCCGCTTCGTCCTCTTCATCAAGACTAAAGCGGTCAGTGCGACAGTGTGTTCGCCCTGATTCCTCTTCCTGCCTTTTAATATTTTCAGCATGGCTCTTGACTGATGAGTCAATAGCATGCCGATGTTACCCGCGTCGTCCTCTTCAGCAAGGCCAACGCGGTCTGTGCTAGAGTGCATTCGCGGTGGTTGCTGCTCCTGCTTCTCGATACCAAGGACGCGTTTTTTAGGGTAAATAGTAGTAATCTACCCACTGTATGCGTGGTTAGGGTTTGGTAGGTCAGTCATACTTGAGCCGTTCGATGCAGGAGCACAGATGACACTAGAACTAATTTGTTACAGCCCGAGTTCGCCTGAGCTGCCGCTGAATATCGGACCTTCTCGGAGTCGCGTCGCGTTATAGAATAGACGGATAGTCGAATCATCCTATTATTCGATCGTTTCATCGGGAAGCAGATCGGCCGTATGATAACCTTTCGGAAAAATGTATCGTTACTAGCCAATGGCGCAGTGCGCGTCGCAACATGTCTTACCTTTTTTTCTCGTACAGTGCTACCCGCACTTATCCGCATGTACAGAGCTGACGTGGGCTAGTCCGTACTTATCCCGGTGGTACCCTTCAAGGCAATCCGTTTTCCGTTCTGAAACGCGCTCGTTTACAGATGAAGCGGGGTACCCCCTGAGCGTGGTGACACGCCTTACATCGCCTCTCACATTGGCCCTTGTCGTTTTCCTTCCCTCTCCAATTTCTCGCTCACAGGTGAACCGGTGGTACCCACTGAGCGTGGTGACGGGCGGGACAACAGCATAGATGATGGTGGCAGTGATGCGCAACGACCTTCACGCATGCCCTCACATCAACCCCTTCCATCTCCCAACACATTCGCTCACAGGTGAACCGGTGGTACCCACTGAGCGTGGTGACGGGCGGGACAGCTGCGAAAATGATGCTGGCAGTGATGCGCAACGACCTTGGGAAGAAGCTGTATGAGGGCACTCTCACTCGCAACATTGCTGCTGTCGTGTACAAGGTGGGCCTTGGAAGTCAACTCATGAATCTTTTAGGAGTCACGTCACTGATGCGCAACAACCAGAGGAAGAAGGTGTATGAGGGCACGGCGGCACGCTCACACGCAACATTGCTGCTGTGGTGTACAAGGTGGGCTGGGGGAAGCGGGGGGTTTATGCGGTTAGGTAGGGTCAGACTCGGTAAGAGATGGGCAGGAATTTGATTGAGGGGCACGCTCACCCGCAATAAGGCGAAGGAAAGTGGGATTATGGCTGTGTAGAGAACAGCGGGTAACGCTCTACTAGCATCTCCCTGCTGCACACACACCACACATTCCCCTGCCACGCACACACCGCCTGTCACACACACACCCCCTGCAACACACCCCCCTGCCACACACCCCCCTGCAACACACCCCCCTGCAACACACCCCCCTGCAACACACCCCCCTGCAACACACCCCCCTGCAACACACCCCCCTGCCACACACCCCCCTGCCACACAACCCCTTGCCACACAACCCCTTGCCACACCCCCCTTTGCTACACATCCCCCCACACATCACCATGCCACTCACGCCCCTGCCACACGCTGCTCTGCGACACGCACACCTCCTCACACCGCCCAGCACCACAGACAATGACGACTGGCCCTCTGGAGGCAATGCTGTGCAATTTATAGGGATGACTACCTTAGATTGAGACTAACTTTGAGACGCCGCCCTAAGGTTGAGACTCAGAGCAAGTTGTATCTGGAGGGTGGCATTCGAATCTCCTGGTCAATCAAGACTCCTCTGTGCCTTCTTGTTGTGTGTATTTGCTGATTGGCTTTGTCAACTGTGTCGCAATTGCAATGTGTGTTGCAATGAGCAGGACGAGAAGGCGCTCCGCAACGCTGCCTTGAGACAATACCCCATGCTCAAGGGCGCGTCGGGCTACGACTACGGCTACAAAGTCATGGTAAGCGCTCTGTGTTTTGAGACGTCTCAAAACACTTCTTCAAACACGTGGCTACAAAGTCATGGTTAGTGCTCTGTGTGTGCCTGCCATCCATGGTGTGACGAGCTGGTAATGCATGCCATAGGAGCAACTGCTGCCTTGAGACCACACCCGTTGCTCAAGGGCATGTCGGGCTACGGTTATGGTTACTAAGTCATGGTAAGTCTTGAAAGCGCCTTGAAATCAGAATGAAGGGCGCATTGGGATACGACTATGGTCACAAGTCATGGTGATTGCTGTACTGTGGCAATGCATGGTGTCAGCCTTTGCTGAAGCTGGAAACGTTGAACTGACTCTTACGTGCCTGTATTTGTCCCTCCATCCCTCTGCTGCCCTCTATTCCCAGGATCCCGCAAATCCACGAGCAGCCATGTACGGCTCAGATGTCGTGAAGGTGAGTGAGTTCTTTAAAATATTATTGAAAGCTTGTTTGGGGTTACCTCATGACACGAGCAGCCATGTATGGCTCAGATGTCGTGAAGGTGAGTGAGCACTCTGCAATGTTTGTGTTAGCTTGTTTGGTTCTGGGTGCCTTGTGTAGCACGAGCTGCCATGTACGGTTTCAGTATTGTTAAGGTGAGTGAGTGAGCACTGAACTGCTTCACCCACCCCTTGTGCATACTAGTACAAGTCTGTTGGATGTCTTTCGTATGACCTGGAACATAGTGCACAGTAGGCATGGCAGTCATGGTAGACATGGCAGAAAAGCTGGCAGGCAGGACAGGGCTGGGAGGGCAGAGCAGTCAGATGAGTATCGCCTCGGATGCTTCATAATTGCCTGATCCCAAACCCCCCATATTTTTCTGATCCTTGTCGACCAACAGATGCCGCCAGAGGCGGAGCTCAAGTCAGTGTTTGACAAGGCCAAGGAGTTTGTGGACGATAAATTCGGGAATGCCAAGGAAGCCTTTGGCAAGCTCTCCTCCATCGGCAGCCTAAGCCCGCCGGAAGAGGCGCCAAAAGCATCGGATGCCAACAAGACTGCACCCAAGTGATTAGTGAATGAGGCTTGCGCAGCATAATGGTTGCCAGCATAGTGTGTTTGCTTGTTGCAATGTCTTAAATGTCTTGATTATTTCAGGGTTAGGTTTCAGAGAGAAGGTGAAGTTTGCTCCTTATGATCCAATCAATTTTGATGTCTACAATCAACTTTGCTTTTACATTATGTCAAATTCATCACCCCACAATGATCCGTTACTGTCCAAGACTTGCGTTTCCTACGAAACTCCTGGAGCACCCTTTAGGGCAACGGAAGTCTGCTTTCGAAACGCATCAGTGCCACGCCAGCTTGCTCCATAGTCAGCGCAGTAGTGTTATGAAGGTGGCTCTTTTTCCGTCTTTCCATTCGCCAAAATCCCCCTTAGGATAGAGCCACGTCACGCACATCAGAATCCCACCTCTTAGGCTACGTGGACTTCACATTTTTTGCGGCGTTGGCCCTCCAGCCAGGTGCTGGCGAATCACGCTGGAGTATATCTTTCACCTCTGATTGGTTCATTCTCTTTCCACCTCACACAGCCACACACGCATCAGACAGATTTTCCCAGTCTTGATTTCACAATCCCGAGATGCCTAGAGTGGGAGACAAGGAACAAGTGTCTCCACTCCACTCCAGCCGTTCCCCACAAAGTATGCGTTTCAGAGAGGTTCTTAAGCCGATTTGGTAGAAATGCTAACGGTGGAGTTGGGTGCTAAGGCAAAGACAAGGCATGTGTTATTGCCTCTTCTTGCCTTTCCCACAGAAATAATACATAAGCTCTTTCTCCAAAGTCCCACTCACAGCTCTCCTCACCAAACAAACTAACTGGACTTGGTAACGGCAAGTAAACACGCAACCCCTAAGTCCCTGGTCTTTTCGGGCTTGTTTTCTTGTACAGATCTGTTCGGAGGCGCTTACCTGTTTCGCGTGGTCCCACATGGTTCAAGATATGAGGCTGCTAGCCAGAATGTTCCAGGATGTGAAGGGCCGAGCGCAATTGTGCGGAGCGGAGATGCCGGTGTTGTCTGCGTCGTCCTGCGGCACTCCCGCAACTCCGCTAGAACGCAACGACAGCGGTTCCAGCTCCCCACGATCCACTCTGGAATCGCAGGGTACCTTTCTGCTCCTTATTATAACCTATCAGCCTATTCATTCCGAATGCGTACTGAAAGTCTGAATGTTGGGTATGAATTCGGCATGATACCTTCTTGTGATTTTCCCTGCTGCTTTTTTTTCGGATGCTGACGGCGTGCTGTTACTGTTATGCATGTGTGCAGACTTCAGTCTGGGTACTCACCGTGCAAATGTAGCGGCAAAAGGGGCTCCTGGCAGCGCCGTTCCTCGCATTACTCAGAGCATCACCATCAAGCGAACCCGTCAAGAACCGGCTCCAACCGTGCAGCACTCCCCTACATCGCGTAGTGCCCCCGCAGTCTCAGGTACATCTTCAGAGTGCAGTTTTCAAAACAACGTCACATTTCTTTCCTTCGGTGGTTGGCTCCTCGCGGCGGGCAGCTCATTGTGTAAACCGGCTTAGTCTTTTGGTTCGTTCCGTTAGAAGAGTTCAACTCCCAGGGTTCACATCTTGATGACAAGCATGTAACTTGCCTCATCGTATTTGCATGGTGTTCTTTTCTGATGTGTTTCTTGCAGGCAATTGGTCTTTTGCAGGAACGAGACAGCCCGCAGAGCCTCGGGTGTTTGACTGGTACAACCCTTTAACCATGTAACTATGGCATGGCTTGAGCACGAGGAATCCGCGCAACATTCACGTACTGAAATGCTGCGCTTTAGTACCCAAATAAGAAACTGCGCCTGATTCTGCTCTTGCGTACGTGTGAAATGTGTTCATTTCCGTGGAGTTTGCTTCCGCTAGCCTATTATACGGACCTTCAGTGAGTCTTGCCGAGTCTGTATAATAAAAAATAGGCCTGGCTAGCTAGTGCTGGTCATAACTACACTGCTATAATAGCTGATCATTGGATGATTGGACATCAAAAGGCACTAGCACCAAGATTAATAGCGCCAGAAGACAGGAATTTACCTGCACAATCCAAGCTTAGACGGTAGCAATGCATGTAGTTCATGCATTCGATGGTGCACTGCGTTGCCTTTCATTCTTAGTGATAGATGATATTTTCTTGATTGTAGTAGCAAATATATCATATATGCTTGAAACCATATCACTTTAAATTCTGTATTGTAAGGATTTACAGAATCCTTACTGGGGCACTCGTTAGCGAGGCCATCCCGAGGGTCACGCGACGAACCTGTCCTTCCTATTTCGTCGCACCGAACCACTCCCAAGTCGCCTCCGCACCAATCGCAACCATCACCGAGCCATCCTCGCCCAACCTCTCCGCCTAGCTAGGACTTCCCCTATTTAGGGTACATTCCGCTGTAGATTTGTGTCTCAATCGATGTGTCCCAATCGATTGAGACACGTACAGCCAGCATATGCTGCCAGGTGTCGAAATGCCGTGGCGCCCGTCTTTGTCGCCGACTGTATTTATCATAGGCTGGCGTGATTCACGGAACAGTCGCCCGCTAATTGCAACACACCCAAGGACTCGCAAACGGCACCAAATGTTTCAACAGGCATCATGTATCTGGACCACATTTTGCGAAACTCAATTTCCCCCCAAACGCGTACAATGCGTCCTCATTGGAGGAAACGAAACATGCAGAATTATTGACAGGGACGCGCACATTCCCGCCAGTCCGCGGGCCCCCCGTTCTCGTGCACCTCCAACACAACTCGTGTGTGATGTATTGCTCTTCACTCTTCTCCCGCCACATTTCCCAGTAGATTTAGATCTAGAAGTTGTCCCACCGGCCCGCATGGCACGTAAGCGTAGGGGGGGGGCTCTGAACGACTGCCCCAAAGACCTAAACGAAATCCCGTACATCCGCTGGATGAACCAGCAAATCGCCAACGGTCGTCACCCCAGGGGCTTGTCCGCGCCACCCGTAAGTGACAGTCAGTGGTCTACTGCACCGTCGCCCACGGCGGGGCCGTCCCGTGTGCGCCGCCAGCCTCCCAGGACGGCGTCCACACACCGATCTGCCATTGAGGATGACGGCGCAGACGATGAGGACGGTGAAGGCGACGACGACGTCGCCTCCGACGACGAGGACGACGCACCTGAGGACCTTGGGATGTCGCCCATCGACGACGACGAAGACGACGACGAGGATGCCGAGGACGACGCCTCCGAGGAAGCCCATCCAGTCGCACCGCCGCCGAAACGGCCGACCGCACGCAAGGCTGCGCACGACAAGGGCAAAGGCAAGGCGGCGTCCCAGTCTGCAGCTCGCCGCGAGCCGAGTAAGAAACGGGCTGCCGCACCAGTCGAGCGTGGCACCTGGTCTGACACGGAGAGCACCATCTTCGCCGCGGCGAAGTGGTTCATGAAGGAGGAGCTCGAGCCTCTCAAGGGGAAGCAGGGTACCCAATACTGGGTCCGGCTGCTCACACACATCAAAGAGTCGAACCCCGGATGGATCCGGGGTGTCAACGCGCTCCAGAAGCAGTGGCGTAGCCTCGTGTTTCTATGGCGGGAGTACAAACGTGCCGACGGGGGGTCGGGCAACGGCTCCGTAGAGAAACCGCCTTGGTTTCCGTACCTGGAGCTGCACAACCAGGACACCGCCGCAGCCGCTCCGCATGCCGTGGACGGAGGTGGCGCGAATAACGTCGACGTCCCGGCGGGCATGGAGGTTCCGCAATCGTCCCAGCCAGGCACGTCAACTCCTTGCTTCACAGGTGAGCCATGGGTGTTCTATTCGGCGCTGTAGTTCTTGTTTATACGAACTCGTGATTCATGACTGCCTTTTTATATTACCACCATGTAAGGCACAAGAATCAACATTGTGTTCGAAACAAAAACTGACCTACAACCACCATCTCTTCTATGTCGCAGCTCCTCCGCCAGCGACTCCTGGCACACCCAAGCGTGCCCGAGTGCGTGAGACGGCCACCATGCAAGCGGCGATGCTCGTCTCCGCCACCATCAAGGACTGCCATGGCGACGCCATGACTCGCATCGAAGGGCTCGTCCGTGAATGGATGACGCAAGATCTCCGACTTGCCCGTGAGCGTATGACAGAGCCGGCTCCCCCGGATGTGCACCGCGCGCCCCCTGATTTCTCTCCACCGCCGCCACGCGGGGAGTCTGCTCCTGCACCCGAAACCGGTACTACAGCGGATGAGGATGTGGAGATATGGGTTCGCGGCGCCGACGATTAGCGTAAGATGACTGAAGCGCCTCCCCCAGGCGTTTCCTCCTATCCCGAAGTGCTTGTTGTGTTGGGGGATCACACGGCTCCCATTTGTCTGTCGCAATAGCACCCCGCGTCTACCATGGATCGCGGTTGCGGGGGAGGTTCTCCCATGCCATGTTTCGCCGCCTGACATCTTGCATGTCCTCACACATGTTATGCAGGATGACACAACACGCGGCCCCGGCGAGGATGCGCCATAACCTGCAGTCGTTGCGCTGGCCGAAGATGCGCCATCTCCCTTTGAACGCCCCGATGCATCTCTCCACGGCCATGCGTGTAGCGCTTTGACAGTAGTTGAATGTCTGTGCCCAGTCATCCATGAGGTCCTCTCCTCGTGGGGCATGCAGGGGTGTTAGGCAGTACTCCCGTAGTGGGTATGCCGCGTCGCCAACGATCTGGTATGGGGCTATGTCCCCGTTGTGTAACCTCTCCAGTAGTGCACTTTCTTTAAAAACCCGCATGTCGTGCGCGCTCCCGGGATACCCTATCAGGTAGTCCCATATTCGCCCCCGTGCGTCACAGGTGAGCTGGAGTTGGACGGCATAAGCAGATTTCCGTGTCCAGTACTCTGTTCTATGACCCTCCATCCCCTTCATGTGTACATGAGTGCCGTCCACAGCACCCACCACAGCAGGTATGCCTTTGACGGCTGCAAACTCCCGCGCCATATCTGGAAGGTCTTCACGGGTGGGGAATCGCACCCAGGCGGCCTTGAAGACGGTGGGGAACTCC